CCTCCTATTTCGTCGCCGTCGTCGTCGTCGTCTTCGTCGTCGTTGTCGTCGTCGTCGTCGTCTTCCCTCCTCCCTCGTCGTTGTCGTCGTCGGCGTCGCCGTCCTTCCTCCTTCTTCGTCGTTGGCGTCGTCGCCGTCTTCCCTCCTCCATCGTCGTTGTCGTCGTTGTCGCCGTCGTCGTTTTTTCTCCTCCCTCGTCGTCGTCTCCGTTGGCGACGTCGTCGTCGTCTTCGTCGTCGTCGTCGGCGTCGTTGTCGTCGTCGTCGGTGTCGTCGTCGTCGTTGTCGTCGTCGAAAACATTGGAGACGTCGTCGGTGTCGTCGCAATCGCTGTCGGCGGCGCCGTCGTCGTCGATGTCGCTGTCGTCGTCGGCATCGGTGTCGTGGCCAAGTGCCATGCAGTACCTACCGTCACGGCCTTGTCTGAATATGTCTTGCGACCAAGTTGCGGGTGGGAGGGTGGGATGTTTGCACGAGCAGTGGAGAGGACAGCTTCAAGACGGTCAAGATTAATTCTCTCTGAAAGAATAATAGATTCTACCCCCCCTCCCCGGAGTTATCGGCTCCCCCGCGCGTGCTGTAAATCACATATGATTCTGACCACATGTCCATCCTAAATATGAATTCGTACCATCCCAGCCAAGCCGGTATTCCCCCCCCCTGCGGTTCCCTTGTAAAAAAAAAAAACACTATGCGGTGACATTTTTTGCTCCAGCATAACATTTTTTTCACGAATCCCTTGCAAAAAACGGGACGAAGTGCACACGCGCGCGTCGTCGCGCGCGCATGTCGGAATCCTTCAAAAACCTTCGGTGCCGGAAGGATTTCGCAATCGAGCTTCAAAAAAACATACAAAAACACATGGTTTCGCAACACTGATTTGCTAAAAAAGCTTCCGCGCGAGCTCTTGCGAAATCTGAAGAAAACCATGGGTTTTCCAAGATTTTCACAAAATGCTACCAAACGGGCTTCGCGCGCGCGCATGTCGAAATCTGTCGAACGCCCTTGCGCGTGTGCCGTCGCGAGAATCCTCTGCAACAAATGGGACGAAGTGCAGACGCGCGCGTCGTCGCGCGCGTACGCCGAAATCCTTCAAAACCCATCTGTTTCGGAAGGATTTCGAAATCGCGCGTCCAAAAAACCTACAAAAACACAAGGTTTCGCAACACGGATTTTCAACAAAAGCGTGCGCGCGCGCTCTCGTCGTCGTCGTCGTCGTCGCCGTCCTCCCTCCTCCCGCGTCGTCGTCGTCGTCGTCGCCCACGTCGTCCTCTGTCTTTCCTCGTGTTCGTCGTCGTCGTCCTCTTTGGCGTCGTGGTCGTTTCCGTCGTCGTTGTCGCCGTGGTCGTCCTTCCTCCTCCTCCCTCGTCGTCGTCGTCGTCCGTCGTCGGCGTCTCGTCGTCGTCCTTCCTATTTCGTCGCCGTCGTCGTCGGCGTTGACGTCGTCGTCTTCCCTCTCCTTCCTCCTTCGTCGTCGTTCGCGTCGTCGCCGTCCTCCCTCCTCCCTCGTCGTTGTCGTCGTTGTCGTCGTTGTCGCCGTCGTCGTCCTTCCTCCCTCGTCGTCGCCTTCGTTGGCGTCGTCGTCGTCGTCGCGTCGGCGTCGGCGTCGTTGTCGTCGTCGAAGTCGTCGGAGACGTCGTCGGTGTCGTCCTAGTCGTTGTCGTCGGTGTCGTCGTAGTCGGTCTGAACAGGTTTTGCAAACCAAGTTGCGGGTGGGTGGGCGGGATGTTTGCACGAGCAATGGAGAGGACAGCTTCAAGACAGTCATAGTGGATTGCACCGCGTAGATTCTCCGCTCTAAAAAAGGAATTCGGTTCTACCACCCTCCCCGCCCCCGGACTTATCGAGTCCCCGGTGACCTATGCAAGGCGCATATGATTCTGACCCTATGTCCATACTACCTGTGAGGCCGGTATCCCCCCCCTCCTCGGTTCCCCTGCAAAACGCACTATGCGGTGACATTTCCTGTTCCAACATCGCACTTTCCCGCGAATCCTTTACAACGGATGCCGTGCGGGGCGCGCGCGCGGCCGCTGCGCGCGCGTGTCGGGATCCCCCCAACCACGCTGTGCTTACAGCGCTGCCAACATCCCGCTTCAAGACGACCGATGAAAGCATGCGACTTTCTCGCCCAAGAATTCTAGAACATCTGCCCGCGCGCTCTCGCCGAACCCTTCAACAACCAAGGGTTTGTTCAACGTTCCTGTCGAACCTGGCCACTTGGGCAACTTTTGCACGCGCGTCGATCTCATTCAACGACGGTCGCGCGCCTGCCAAAGCCAATCCCCTGAAAGAGAATTCCGCGCGGGCCGCTCTCGCGCGTTTGCCGCGCGCGCATCTCGAACTCCTTCCGGACCCTTTATCGCCGACGCGAAGACGCCGTCATCGTCGTCGGCGCGATCAGCATCGGCGCCGTCACTAGCTGCCCCGTCGTCGCTGTCAGCGTCGCCACGAGCATCGCTATTATCATCGTCGTGTCCACCGTCGTCGAGGTTGCCATGGTACCGCGCCCGCCCAAGTCGCCGACTCGCACTCAAGTGCCCGCTGGGATGTGCCGAGCGGTCAGCGCCACCGCGATCGCGTCGGTCGCGCCAAACTAGCTGGCCGCTGCGCGCGCGAGCACGCGCGGGCTGGCGCGGCCGCGCAGATGCACCAGCCAACGCCAAGCACTCATCGCAATCGCTTTCGCATGGGTTTCGCAGACCAAGTTGCGGGTGGGCGGGCGGGGTGACTGCGCGAGCAGTGGAGTTGACAACTTCAAGCTCGCCAAGTGAATTGCACCGCGTAGATTGCGCCGCGTTGGCTGCATTGCATAGGTTGCACCGCGTAGATTATATTTTCTATGAAAGAAATGGGTTCTACCACCATCCCCCCCAGACTCATCGACTCCCCGGGAACCTATGCAAGGCGCGTGTGGCTCTGACCCAGTGCCCATCCTGCCTGTGAATTCATACTATCCCAGCCAGGCCGGCATCGCTTCCCCCTCGTTTCCCTTTCCAGACACTGCAATGCTATTTTCTGTTCAGGCAGAATTTTTTTCACGAGTCCACCGCGCAGAAAACAATGCGAGGCGCGCGCGCGACCGCTGCGCGCGCGCGTCGAAATCCTTCCAAACGCGCTGCTCCAACAATTCTAACATCCCGCTTCAAGAAAATCAATGAAAGCATACGGCTTACTCACCCAAAAATTTTAGACAATCTGCCCGCGCGCCCTCGAAAACCCATGGTTTTTCTACGTTCCAGCCGGGCGCATTGGGCAACCCTTGCGCGTGCGTCGATCTCGTTCGACGGCGGTCGCGCGCATGCCGGGGCCAATCCCTTGGGGCGCGCAGGTCGAGGCCCCTCCAAGCTCACGGTGGTTTCCACATTTTCAAGACCGACCTCGTCGAAAACAGCAAAACAAATTCTGCGCCCCGTCGTCGCTGTCGGCGTCGGCGCCGCCGCTGGCTGCCCCGTCATCGCTGTCAGCGTCGTCGCCGGCATCGCTGCTATCGTCGTGTCTACCGTTGTCTACGTTGCCATGGTGCCGCGCCCGACCATGTCGCCGACTCGCACTCAAGTGCCCGCTGGGATGCGCCGAGCGGTCAGCGCCTCCGCGCGCGCGTCGGCCGCGCCAAACTAGCTGGCCGCCGCGCGCGCGAGCGCGCGCGGCCGCAGAAGTGCGCCGGCCGACGAAGAGCTTTCTTCGCAATCGCCTCCGCATGGGCCCTGCAAACAAGTTGCGGGTGGGCGGGCGGGGCGGCTGCGCGAGCCGCGGAGTCGACAATGTCAAGCTCGCCAAGGGAATTTTTCTCATAAGTCAAGAAATAAGTCCCAGCCCCCCCCCCCCCCCCCCCCGACTTGTCGATCCCCTGGGGGCCTATGCAAAACGCGTGCGATTCTGACCCAATGTCCATCCTGCATGTGAACTCATGATATCCCAGCCAAGCTGGCATCGGCCCCCCCCCATCGGTTCCTCGGGGCGGAATCTACGCGGTGGAATTTTTGTCCAACGCGACACTTGTCTCGCGAATCCCTTGTAAAGAATGCCATGCGGGGCGCGCGCGCGCGGCCGCTGCGCGCGCCGGAACCCTTCCCAGCACGCGGTGTATTCAGCAATTCCAACATCCCGCTTCGAGATAACCAATGACAACATACGACTTTCCCACCCAACAAGTTATAGGAAACATCTGCCCGCGCGCTCTTGCCGAATCCTTGAACAAAAACCAGAATTACGCTACCGAGGAACCCAACATACGGATTTTTAATCTTATGTGTTTGCTTGTCATTATCATCTATGCGCAATGCTGCGTTCTAAACCCTCGTCGCGAATCGCCGTCGTACTTGTCGTGCTCGCTGTCGTACTCGTCGTGCTCGTCGTCGTACTCGTTGCCGCTCTATCGTCTTACTCGTCATCGTACTCGTCGTCGCACCTCGCCGTCGTGCTCGTCTTCGCATTCGTCGTCGTGCTCGTCGCACTCGTCGTCGCGCTCGTCGTCGTCGCACTCGACGTCGTCGTACTCGTTGTGTTGGTAGTGCTCGTTGTATTCGTCGCCGCACTCGTGGTCGTCGTCGTCCTCCTCCTCCTCCTCGCCCTCCTCCTCCTCCTCGTCCCGCCCCGTCCTGTCAACTCCTCCGCGCTCCTCTCAATTCCTCCGCGCTTCCCTCAACTCCTCCGCACTCCTCTCAACTCATCCTCTCATATCCTTCTGTACTCCTCCTTCTGCACTCCTCCGCACTCCTCTCAACTCCTCCGCGCTCCTCTGAACACCTCCGCACTCCTCTCAAATCCTCCTCCTCACAACTCCTCCGCACTCCTCTCAACTCCTCCTCCTCGCAACTCCTGCACGGCCGCGCACGGCGCGGCACGGCGCGGCGCCGACGAAAGGCATGGCACGGCAGTGATTCCCGACGGCCCCGGGGCTTTGAGCGTGCCTCCAGACACCGCAAGAAACGAAAAACCTCCTCGAACCTCGAAGTGCGTCGCCGTCGTCGTCGTCGTCGCCGCCAGACATGGTCAGACCTCCGGCGGCGCAGTGCCCCCTCGGGCCCCGGATGGGGCGGGCGCGGCAGGGGGCGGGGGCGGGGGCCGGGAGGGCCGGCCAGAGCTCCTGCGGACCGACGACAACGACCTTTCTCGCCCTGCCTTCCGCCACCATTTCTTCTCCTCTATTCTTCTTCTCCATTTTCTTATATACTGCTCCTGGGAGGGCCCATAGGGAAGGGAAGGAGGGGAGGGAGAGAAGGAGGGAGGGACTCCTGCTGCTGCCCCGGCTCCTGCCCCCTTTCCTGCGATGGCAGCTCTCTGGTCTCGCGCCCTTCGATGGAAGATCTCTGGGCGACAGCGCATTCTATAAACCCTAGAGACATTCGATGGAAAATCTCTGGTCTTTGGATGCGGACGACGCTCTGTGGCGATCAGAGGCAGACGTGCCTAGACGGGCACGGTGCCAAATCCATGTAGGAAAGCAGCGCGCGTGGCATGCTGCAGCGAACCGCGCTCTGGGAAACCGCACTATCTTGGCAACCATGCTTTCCACTATATGCTCCAGACGCTGTGCCACAGATCCTGAAAGTTTTGCTGCTTAGTATATGCCTTCGGAGGAGGCAAATTGCCGCCTCCAAAGCCGAGAGCCAGGGTGCTGACTCCAATTTACTTGATAAAAGCCAGGCCTGACGGCATCGCCAGCCAGTGTTTGAGAGGTCTCGGGCAACCGTGTCAGGAGGCCACGAGCCCCAATCGAGCCACATGTCTCAGCAATATTCTCGCAGGGCGCTGGCCTAGGGTCCGCAGCCGAGCAGAGTTGGCTCGTCGGGTTTCGTAAACCACCGAATTCGCTTCGCGACCGTCGTCGCTCACTCTCTTCCTTGTCCCTCCCCCCCGCCGAGAGCCAGGGTGCTGACTCCAGCTTACTTGATACAGGCCACGCATGGCGGCACTCTGGAAAACGCAGCGCATGGTGTCGAGAAAGTACCACGCCTGCTATGCCTGGACGACCGGCGCGTATAGAGACCGCAGCGAGAGACCACCCCCTGCGCACCCCCTATGGTGTCGAGAAAGTGCCACGCCTGCTATGCCTGGACGACCGGCGCGTATAGAGACCGCAGCGAGAGACCACCCCCTGCGCACCCCCTATGGTGTCGAGAAAGTGCCACGCCTGCTATGCCTGGACGACCGGCGCGTATAGAGACCGCAGCGAGAGACCACCCCCTGCGCACCCCCTATGGTGTCGAGAAAGTGCCACGCCTGCTATGCCTGGACGACCGGCGCGTATAGAGACCGCAGCGAGAGACCACCCCCTGCGCACCCCCTATGGTGTCGAGAAAGTGCCACGCCTGCTATGCCTGGACGACCGGCGCGTATAGAGACCGCAGCGAGAGACCACCCCCTGCGCACCCCCTATGGTGTCGAGAAAGTGCCACGCCTGCTATGCCTGGACGACCGGCGCGTATAGAGACCGCAGCGAGAGACCACCCCCTGCGCACCCCCTATGGTGTCGAGAAAGTGCCACGCCTGCTATGCCTGGACGACCGGCGCGTATAGAGACCGCAGCGGGAAACCACCCCCTGCGCACCCCCTACGGTGTCGAGAAAGTGCCACGCCTGCTACGCCAGCGCGACTGGGGCCACGCCTGCTATAGCAGGACGACTGGGGCGTATAGAGACCGCAGCGAGAGACCACCCCCTGTGCACCCCCTATGGTGTCGAGAAAGTGCCACGCCTGCTATGCCAGGACTGGTGTCGTCTTGTGTGTGCGAGTGTGTGCATGCGTGCGGCTGTATGTAGACGCGTGTCGCCGAGACGTGCTGTGCTGTGCTCTGCTGAGCTGTGCTGTGCTGTCCTATGCTGTGTTGCGGTCTGCTGTGCTGTGCTGCGCTGTGCTGAGGAGGAGGAGGAGGAGGAGGAGGAGGAGGAGGAGGAGGAGGAGGAGGAGGAGGGGAGGAGGGCGGGTGTGGGGGAGACGCGGGCGCGGCGCGGCAGGGAAGAAAACCAGAACCCCACGAAGCATGTGGGGAACAATTTCCAACGTTTGCATAACGTGCTACCGAACGGGTTTCGCGCGCGCCTGTCAAAATCGTTCAAGCGCCCTTGCGCGCGTGCTGGGGTGGCGCGATCCGCGTCAAATAATACCATGCGGGCCACTCTCGCGCGTCTGCCGCGCGCGCATTTCAAACTCCTTCCAACGCCTTCATCGCCGACGCGAAGACGCCGTCATCGTCGTCGGCGTGATCAGCATCGGCGCCGTCACTGGCTGCCCCGTCGTCGCTGTCAGCGTCGTCGCCAACGTCGCCACTATCATCATCGCGTCTACCGTGGTCGATTTGCCGTGGTGCCGCGCCCGCCCAAGTCGCCGACTCGCACTCAAATGCCCGCTGGGATGTGTCGAGCGGTAAGCGCCACCGCGTTCGCGTCGGTCGCGCCAGACTAGCTGGCCGCTGCGCGCGCGAGCATGCGCGGGCTAGCGCGGCCGCAGATGCACCAGCCAACACCAGGCACTCATCGCAATCGCTTCCGCATGGGGTTTGCGAGCGAAGTTGCGGGTGGGCGGGCGGGATGTTTGCGCGAGCAGTCGAGTGGGCAATTTCAAGTAGAGCATTAGTGGGTTCTCACTTCTCGAAACAAACTAAGTTCTACCGCCCCCCCCCCCCCCGGATTAAAGATCCCCTGGGAACCGATGCGAAACGCTTGTGCTTCTGACCCAATGCCCATCCCACCTGCGAGTTCATACTTTCCCAGCCATGCCGGTATCGACCCCCCCTGCCATCCTCTGCAAAGAAACTACTCTGCGCGCGCACTCGTTTATCCCATAACACGAGTTTACAATAATCCCTTGCAAACAATGTGACGAAGTGCGCACGCGCGCGTCGTCGCGCGCGCATCCCGAAATCCTTCAAAAAACCGTCGGTCCCGGACGGGTTTCAAAACCGAGTGTCAACAACAAACACACAACAACACAAAGTTTTGCAACGCAGCGTTTAACAAAAGCGCGCGCGCGCTCTTGCGAAATCTCACGAAAGTCATCGGGTTTTCAGCGCGCAAAAACTTTTACCGAACGGGCTTCGCGCGCGCGTCGAAATCGTTGGAACGCCTTTGCGCGCGTGCTGGGGTGGCACGGCCCGTGTCAAATAAGACCATGCGAACCACTCTCGCGCCTGCCGCGCGCGCATCTCGAACTCCTTCCAAAACCCGCATCACCGACGCGAAGACGCCGTCATCGTCGTCGGCGTGATCGGTGTCAATGCCGTCATTGGCCGCGCCGTCGTTGCTGTCAGCATCGTCGCCAACATCGCTACTACTATCATCATCGGGTCTACAATTGTCGACGTTGCCATGATACCGCGCCCGTCGAAGTCGCCGACTCGCACTCAAATGTCCGGCTGGATGTGCCGAGCGGTCAGCACCACCGCGGTCGCGTCAATCGCGCCACACTACCTGGCCGCTGCGCGTGCGCGCATCCGCGAACTGACGCGGCCGCAGAGATGCACCAGCCAGCGCCAAGCACTCATCGCAATCGCCGCCGCATGAGGTTTGCAAACCAAGTTGCGGGTGGGTGGGTGGGATGTTTGCGTGAGCAGTGGAGTGGACAACTCACTGCGAACAGGAATTCAGTGCACCGCGTCGATTACACCGCATAGATTGCATTACGTAGGTTGCATCGCGCACATTGCACCACGTAGATTGCACGGCGTAGGCTGCAAGAGCCTGCTGTTTGGGTGGTTCCGCGCTGGCTAACACCCTTACAGTTTCCTATTTATTGTCACACCCCGCAACGTGTCGGCAGGACGGCCTGGGCTTTCCGCCTGAGACTTACTAAACATGCGGGATCCGGACGCTTTCCCCAGGGGCCGTAGGCGACCCGAGGAGAGGCGAGCGAGGAGGGCGAGGAGGGGGAGGAGGATGAGGAGGAAGAGGAGGAGGAGGAGGAGGACACAGGAGGAGGAGGAGGAGGAGGAGGAGGAGGAAGAGGTGTACGCCACGAAAGTAGTTGCACAAAACCCTCCGACGAACTCTGCATGTGCCTTCAGGAGGGGTGGCGGTGTGTAAACTCGCTGGCTTTCGAAAGTCCAGGATTACCTAGGGACTGGTCTCCTTTCGAAACGACCGAAACCCTCCCGAAACCATCCGAAAACCCTCCGGGAAGGGTTCCGGGAGAGTTTTCGGAGGTTGGAAGGGTTCCTCTCGTTTTGGGAGGAAACCAGTCCAAAGCGAATCCTGGGTTTTCTAATGCTGGCTCTCAATGGTGATTTACACATCGCCGCCCTCCCCTGAGACCCAGGAGCAATCCATTGGAGAGCGTCACTGTGTATATGTGGCGGAACAAGGAATAACGACTAGAATTGTTGCACGTTGCGGTCTTCTTTGCGGTGCTCGAAACGCCAAACACAGATTGCTGGGCTGGCGCGGTTACGGAACTTCCCGCAGGAAGCTGGATACCTTTCCCTTGGAGATCGACGGTGGCCCATGAGGGGATGGTAAAGAAGTGAGCTTGGCCTACGGGACTGCAGCCCCTGCGTGTACTCCCGAAACACCTGATACTGACACAAACTGCATAAACCGAAATTATAACCACGCGCGCGAGTTTCGCGTGCGCCCTAGCATGGCGAACTCGAATCTCGTGCTGCTAATGGTAATTGTATAGGCGTTCTGGGGATGCGTTGAGAATAGTGGTCATGTGGGGGGAGATTTGCGGTCGGTGGTCGGCGCTGGACCCCCCTCTCCATCCCTGGCGCTGAATGCGGCTCCTGGGAGATAATTGAAATGTCTGAAGGTCATTTGATCAGGTCATTTGATTTGCTTTCCCACCTTCTGACGAAAAGGCGCGGACGGTGTCACGGTGTCATGACGCGAACCGTCCCAAGAAAGAGATCTGGTATCAAGGCCCAAGAGAGAATACGCGTTCTGCGACTGGCAAACCGCAACGACTTTTCTACGCACCCCTTCCTGCTGCTTGTCCTGCCGTTTCTTCCTCCCGCTCCCCCTCCCCCCTCTTCAATCTTTGCTGATATCCTTTCAGGGTCGGCAGAGCCCGTCGTGCGGCGAGGAGGGAAGCCATTCTGCGACTGGCAATTGCGCGACGACTTCTCTCACCGTTGCCGTCGCACGGGGAGTGCCCAGCAGCCAGCCATCGTGCCATCCGCACTCATTGGGCACGGAGCGTCGGCATGGCCACGAACATGAACATGAGAGAGGGGGCGAGGAGAGCGAGCGAACAAGAACGGGAGAGAGATAGAGGGAGATGATAGAGGGAGAGAGAGAGAGAGAGGAAGAGGAGACAGGGGGAGAGAGAGATATAGAGAGCAGGAGAGATGACGGTCATCGCGGGAGGAACTGTGACATCACCAAGACGAGCGCGCCCTCTCAGAGCTGCGCCTAGCCGTCTCCGCCACGCTGAACCGCCTCGACACTAGCCGCCGGTCAGCAAGTGCTTCGAGGAAGGGGAAGAGCGGAGGGATAGGGGCAAGACCCTCCTGCCTTTCCTGTCGATGTCCTTCATGGCAAATGCATCCCTTCAACCGCTGATCATCCGTCAGTCTCCGTCCATCCCGCTAGGTCCCGCCGAATGCCGAATGTGTCCGCCGCCACTGCTCTGGCTGCCTACGCATACTCACATACATCGTATTGCTTCTTTTCTTCTCCTCTTGCTTCCTTCTCTTCCTTGCTGTTCCAACTCCCACCCTTGCGTGGGTACGTAGCCTATTTCACTACTGCTGACCCCGCTGCAACTTCGCTACCGCACAAGCGCAATTCCGTCCCTCGCGAAGGGCAAAGGCCGATCGAGACCAGGCTGGACCAGACCAGACGCGACCAGAAGGGGGGCGCGACATCGCTCTCGGGACGGGCTGCTGGCGACTCGCGAAGCGTATAGAGTCTAAACAGACCTTTTAGCTTTGGGCAGAGTTGTCTTAATCTCCTACAGGCCTGCGTATGTGTTTGACCT